TTTATTTATTTATTTGTTAACTCATTTATTTGTTTCTTTATTCGAGCGTTTGAATTGTTTTTTCAAAAAATTCAACATTTCTCAAAATGCCGACATTCATTTTAGGGTGAAAACGAGTATGCATTAGTGAAACGACCCAATATCGGTCAGATCGGTATGCCGATCCCACTGAAAGCCAACTATGTACGGATGCGGATCAATGGAGATCACTGTCTCTATCAGTATTCAGTCCGAATCGAGAAACAATCCAAACAGATCTTCAATAGGTTTGTCACAATTTTCAATTGTTTTATCAAAAACATTATATTGCAAAGTTTTTGTCTTCGTATTGCTCATTTCCAAAGTGTATTTCATCGTTTTGTCGGAGTATTATTCTGTTTCGAGTCTAGTCTGAGATCACTGAGTCAAAGTTTTGGTTTTATTGTTTCATATGTTTCTGTGCGTCATATTGTCTACAATTTAGTATAGAGTAAATTAATGAATGAAAGGTTCCATGAAATTATTTGAAGGTACATAGATACATATGATAGGTTCGATAATACAAAGATTTGACCTGATTTTTTAATGAAACTGATCGTATTTGCAGTGATACTTGCCGTAGAATTTTCTGGGAAGTGATGTCTGATAATGCCGAATTGATCGGTAAAACCTACTACGGAATCGTTTACGATGATTCGGCAATGTTGATCACTAATCGACCACTCAATATGAACGGTCGAACATCCATCGAACTGTGCCATTCGGGATCGAAAAGACAGCCACGAGCTGGGGTATCTAGCGTTTTGTTCATTAATAATTGAATTCACTGNATTTGAGATCGCTTATTAACGGATTGCATTCCATAGACTATAGGCACTGTATTAATGAAATCAATTTGGTATTATTATCGTAATTGTTGTCCAATTGTTACAATAATAATATCATTATTATAGTTGCTGTTCACATTTCAGGCATCTTCTTCACCTCAAATCAAACTAACAATAACACCACTGCCGTGTTGTGAACTGCATTTGTCGTACAATGAAACAGACGAGCGAAGTCGTATGACAATGCAGTTCCTGGATGCCTTGATCACACAACGTGTTCGATGTCCATTCGAGTGAGTCCTGAATTTTTTGTGTCACTAACCGTGGAACAGTAAATATTTTATTTGTTCCTTATGAATTGCAATTCATTCTTAATATTTCCGTTGTTTGATGTAGTCGTTATTATTGTTCTTCATATCAGGATGATTAGTATTATTGTCGGTGTTTTATCGCTATCACGATTGGTGTTCTTAAATTATCGACTTGCGTTGAAGATGTTGAATGAAGAGGTAGTTTGGTATGTTAAACATAGGATGATCTGCTTTGTAGAGCTGTTTTAAGATTGTTCATTGTCGAATCACTGATTAATTGAATTTGATGCACTACAACGAAATTGATTCGAACCGTGAAATTATACGTATGAAAGGTTATTTGCAGAGAAATATCTAAAGATTTCTATCCGTTCAAGCAGTCAATATACTTGCTTCCAAGAGCAGACCGACGAGAGTGGAGTCACGATATTGGAGCGGGTATAGAGGCCTGGACTGGCGTGTATAGTGCGGTGAAGGTGTGCCGTAAAGGGCTGATGCTGAACGCTGATGGTAACGTACCTATGAATTATTTCTGGTTTTCATCTCTTCATTCAAATTATCCATTGATTTAGCTCAACACGAGGGTTTTTATGACTTTCTGAAGTGGTGCAGTAATGCAGAGGTTTTATTGTTTTAATGATAATGATGTTAATAATCCAATGGTCATTTCGATGAGACTCATTTCAAATTTCATTTAGCAGAGATGAAGTTTTTCATGAATATGTTTTGTTCGGTTTTGCACCGCGATTTTAATGTTCGTTTTTTTAATCTTTGTATCAGTTTTGGTCAGTTATTAAATATTTTCCAATTAGCCGTTTTCATATTTCAATATAAGCGATATTTATAGTGTCAACAAAGGTGTTCTATAAATTGGATATGCCGGTGATGGATTATTATTTATCGATTATAAACGATGTCAAACGAGGTCAAGTGATGAATCGCAGAAATATTGCTATGGACGAAAGGCAACGTAAAACTCTTGATGCAGCTCTCAAAGGTTTACTCTTATCAGTCTTATCCTTTGAATGATTATTTCTACTATTATCATTATTATTACTGTTATTATTATTGTTATTATTATGGCTATCAATATTATTATTGTTATCAATTGATC